CTATATATATATACACGTAATAATCAAATCCATGCTAGAAGGTTATCATCATTAGGGCAATATTTGTCATTATCTCCAAATTTGATAATAACTTTCATAGATATTTAATAAAATCGTAATTTAAGGTATTGATTGATTAGTCAATAAAAAAAGAAAGACGGAAAGCAGGAGAACCAATTATAATGAATTTTCAATATATATATATATATATACGTATAAATTACGCTTTTTTATATTGTAATAATTTTTTTTCAAAACATGGACTAGATTCTCTTGTACCAACAACATATGATACGCATAGATAACACCAAAAGATGGTTGCATGTGTGTCTGCAAGCCGAGGAACAGCCCAAGAAACTTTTTTTAAGGGATAGTCCATGTTGAAAAATAAATAAATAATTTCAAATTGTAATAAAAAAATATATTGTATGCGTCATATGATATACAGATTTAACATATGTTGCAAAATATTTAATTTGATGTGGCCTTTTATTGAAGGTTCAATGGACCCTCGGTATTTGCATGTGACGTGATGAGAAAATTGCGATCTTGACATGGACCATATTGTATAAATTTATTATTTCGTATTACATATATATGTATTTATATAGATGACAAAAAACTACATGGATCTAATAATTATTACGTGCATTTTTATATAGAAATAAAAAATAAAAACATCCATGTTTATTCAAACAATTTATGTGTTGAATCCAATCCCTATGATTTGAACTCGATTATATTCATGTGTTGGGCATATATTTGTATATGTATATATATATATTATCTTATTCTGCATTCATTAATAACCAGATTTTAAAATTTTGAAATATTTTTTTCTTATCATGTTCAGATTAAAACAGGATTACATGCGACTATAAATGGGTAGAGTTAAGACTATGAAATTGAGTAGATATATGGACAGACCATACGTATGATTAAATATGTTGTGTGACAAAAAAAAATTGTTATTTTAATTAAAAAAACGATAGTAACAACAATTACCAAGCAAATTATAGATGGTAGACATGTTAATTAAAATTATTATAGTGGACTGATTCTAGCATATAGTTATGAAGAAAAGGACATGGATCACAATCACAGCCCATTTCATACTATGTTTTATCTATGAATTGTTGGGTCCCACAATACTGTGTGTTTAATATCCTGGCCCCACATTGATTCTTCCCTGTGCCCATAACTCTCGAACGTCTAATTAGCATATAATATTATTATTATATGATTAAAAAAAGAGAGTATTAAACCTATTTGCGTATTTATGGATCCAAATAAGAAACACACGTTTCGCCATTTATGAAATTTGGGAAATGCAAGTTACACGAATAGATGTATATGTTTAAAATGGTATTCGCGTCATATTTAGCATTTAAATTATACCTATTGTTATTTATAAATTAAAAATTGCATGAATAGATTAAATAAAAAGAATTATGCCATATCTATCTCTTTCACCCGTTGGAACATGTTGAACCCTCCACCTCAATCAGAAGCGTGGAGTTTCCGTCAAACATGGATACGTGGCAGAACAGTAACGAAAGAGACACAAATCTGCCTGCAACTACAGAGACCCTCTCGTTCGAGCAGCCCATATGCCCATGTTTCCTTACGCAACATCCATCAACATATGTCCCTGCAAATACGCAGACCATTACGTATATATACATGCATACATATATATATATACATCATGACGAGTGATGAAAATCTCTTTTACAGACTTTATAAACTAACAACTTGGTACCACAGTCGATGTCATTGGCCTACCATGCTCAGTGTTACGTTATTTGCCCTACGTACGACCCACAAAATCGCATGTTATTAGAAAATATTTTATCACGTAATAGTCATTCAATACACTTTTTAATCGTGTTATGACAACCGAAGCATGTATTACTCTTATTTGTAACATTAGTTGGTTCAATTTCTTATTATTATTTTTTTTTGGTAGCAAAGATCTATCGATTATGAGGAAATAAATTTACAAGATGTACAGACACGTCACTGCATGTCCCTTAAATTTATGACATTTCGAGAACATGCAAAAGATTAGTCTCACGTTATTTAAGGCATTCAATATTTTTATAATTCGATTTGACTACTGTTTCCAAACCAGGTCTAAGGGCCGGTAGATATGCATTAACTGTTGAAAATGATTGCTTTTTTTTTTTCGAAATTTCTATTCATAGGATTAAAGATGATTTAATTGTTTCCAACCCATAAAAAACGGAATTATAGCCCATTTTTTAAAATAAATCTCTAACCGGTCCTAACAAAATTGAAATATCCATGCTAAAATCAATTTATCGAACACTAACAATTACCATACATATGTCGAAGAACGTAGGCTATGAGTAGGTGTATATATTACGTATGTGTGAATTACGGGCGAAAGTGAGAATGGTATTTTCCTCTTGCTATAATGGGAATAATTAAGTGTAATCATAATATATAGTAAAAATAAGAGCTTAATCAAATGATTTGGATTTGTGTATGTAATAATTATGGTCCAAGATTCTTACATCAGTTTGTCCCAACATCGGATATTGACCCAATCATATATTGGCATTTGCCGTTGGATATATTTCATTCCATTTTATCATAAAATCTTTTGCCAATTTGTTTTTGGTTTCCAATTTAAATTCAAATAACATGGATTTTTGAAAAAGACAATATAACATAGCATTGTCCTAAGTAGGGGTGGGTATAATATACAAAAATTACCGAACCGATCCGTTATTCGATCCGTATCCGAACCGAAAATTCGGATATCAAGAGTTTACGGATCGGATACGGATATTTATTTTGAAATATTTGTTGAATACGGATATCAAATTCGAATTATCCGACATATCCGATCTGATTCATACTAATTAATAATATTATTAAATATAAAAATAATTTGCTATAAAGATATAAAATGTTTTATACTTACATGTTTTGTAGGGATATTTAAGAAATAATTTTTATATATTGAAATTTAAAATGTTTAATCTTTTGAATATTAAGATTTATTATGTTTAATTTTTAGAATTTTAAACTTTCAATATATTTGTATATGATAGATTATGATTATATTTGTATTTGAATTGATTTAAAATATTTAAATTTTAAATTTTGAATTGTGAATAATATTTATATTAAATAACTTACATAATTTATTTATATTTGAAATTGTTATTTAAATCTGATACGGATATTTATTTTGAAATATTTGTTGAATACGGATATCAAATTCGAATTATCCGACATATCCGATCTGATTCATACTAATTAATAATATTATTAAATATAAAAATAATTTGCTATAAAGATATAAAATGTTTTATACTTACATGTTTTGTAGGGATATTTAAGAAATAATTTTTATATATTGAAATTTAAAATGTTTAATCTTTTGAATATTAAGATTTATTATGTTTAATTTTTTGAATTTTGAACTTTCAATATATTTGTATATGATAGATTATGATTATATTTGTATTTGAATTGATTTAAAATATTTAAATTTTAAATTTTGAATTGTGAATAATATTTATATTAAATAACTTACATAATTTATTTATATTTGAAATTGTTATTTAAATTTGAATTAAATTTTTTATAATTGTTTATGTCGGATACAGATATCCGTAAAATATCCGTAATTTCGGATATCCGTAAATTACGGATCGGATACGGATAATAAAGTTGAGTATTTGTGCAGATCAGATACGGATAGAGATATCCCAAAAATCATGGATATCCAATCTGTGTCCACCCCTAGTCATAAGATGGATAGTTCAACAAATGAAATAAGGGTACAAAGCGTCTGTTCCGCTCCGAGTTCGAATCTCAGGTTGAGGAGAAAGGTTTTCACATGGCTTCTCCTCTGACCCCGAGATTAGTCTAGATTTCGATTTAGGATACCCGATTATAAAAAAAATATAGAATTGTCCTAAACACCAAAATTCGTAAATCATAAATCAAATATGTTGAAGATGATTCTTTTCATATATATTTTTCTTTTGTTTTATGATTTAAGATTGTGTGGTTTATTTAATTTTATACTCCCTGTTTTAAAATACTTAACGTTTAAGAATTCAACATACAAATTAAGAAAAATAATGTTTTTATCTAAAATACTTTTATTTATTAAATTTTATTCTTAAACATTATCTATTTTGAAACGGATGGAATAGTAAATAAGAAAACAACAAAAACCAAAAAGGGAAAATAATATTATTGTGGAGATGATTTTGGATTTTTTGATTGAGTCATTATCCAAATGCTCACATGGGTGAAGAATGGTGAGTGAATGAAAGACGCTCAAATTGTTTAACCTTTCTTTCAATTATTATTATTATTATTATTATTTGAAAAAATCCACGAAGACTGTAGGTATCTAAGGTATATATAAAGACGAGGCAATGATCAAACCCATGTGAGAATGAGTTAACCGGCTTTGAAGTTTCACCGCAGCCAAAATTCTTATTCACCAATGAGTGGATCCCAACTTGTACACAATTGGCAATCAAACAAAAGCATATATATGTATATATATATTTTTAAAGTCCATCAATGTTTTTGACTCAATTAATTACGTTTGCTTTTTTTTTTCTAAGAAATTTATCAAAACATCAAAGAATATATTCGTTATTATAAGCAAGCCTAAAATCTAGGCACATATTTATATCCTCTGCCCATCTTATATGGTAACCACTAACAGACAAACAGAGATCCATACATAAACCAAGAAAAAATAAAATATGAAATTGAGAAGGATACATTGCATATTGTGTATAATATATGCATGTCATGTAATGCAAATAGATTCAAGGATATTTTCTCTGTCATCTTGTTATTCGTGTGGGACCCCAATTTCCCTCCAAATTGATTGCCAGTTAATTTCCATGGAAAATCTCTCTCTCTCTCTCTCTCTCGGCAACAGCTACTTAAAGGCTCCATCAAACCGCCAAACGCTCTCCCCACTATCATCGCTTTCTTCTTTCCGACATTTTTTCACGACTCCTGAACCCTTCCTCTTACAGAGAACAGACACATTTCTAAAAAAAAACTGTTTTTTTGTTTGGTCTTTGCTTCGTTTACTGTTGGTTTCTGGTTAACAATGGCGCGACCGCAACAACGGTACAGAGGCGTGAGACAGAGGCATTGGGGTTCATGGGTCTCCGAAATTCGCCACCCTTTACTGTAATCTCTCTCTCTCTCTCTCGTTTTCCGCGTTTCGAAACGCTGAAAAACTGAAACGCGGTAGCCTTATGTTTTTCGCGATTTGGTTGCAGGAAAACGCGAATATGGTTGGGGACGTTCGAGACGGCGGAAGACGCGGCGAGAGCATACGATGAGGCCGCGAGGCTCATGTGCGGTCCGAGGGCGCGAACCAATTTCCCTTACAACCCAAACGCGCCGCTCACTTCTTCCTCCAAGCTCCTAAACGCGACTCTGACCGCCAAACTCCACAAATGTTACATGGCTTCCCTTCAGATGACCAAACAGCAGCAAATGCAGAACGCAAGATCGCCCCCACCTCCGCCGCAAACGCAATTCCGCCAGACGCTAAAGAAACCGGCTGAAGCTGACGGCGTCAATGTGGCAGCCAACGGGATGCGTGGCGGGAATTACGAAAACAGAGGAGTCTCTGCGTCTGGGAACGCAAACGCGGAGTGGGCCAATTGCGCGTTTGAAAACGTGAATCTGCAGCAACAATTCAAGCCCCTTGAAGAAGATCACGTGGAGCAAATGATAGAGGAGTTGCTCCACTACGGCTCAATCGAGCTCTGCTCTGTTTTACCCGCTCAGGCGCTGTGAAGAGCAGCTCTGTTCGTTTCAGTGTAGCCCTCTTCTGCGTTTCAGAAAACGGCGTTTCAAGCGATGAGTAGTGAGAGTAGCAAAATGGTAAGAGAGAGAGAGCGCTAAGTCCCAGCGGCCGGTGAAGGTAGCAGAGTGGATCATTTAGATTATTTTTAACCAATTTTATATTATAAGATTGGCCTCTTTGAATTCGAATGCGTAGTTCCTAGAGAGCTGATCACATGCTTATTGTACATTACATTTACACTTATATTTCCCGTCTATACATATATATTGTTGTTATCAACACGAGATTAACCAACATTGTGTGTGTGCCACTATATATATATATATATACACACATATATTCAGCTGTTATCTTTTGTCGTCGTGTATAAAATTCGTTGTCCGAACTCTTTTCTGGTATAAAATGTGAAACTACAGATGATGAAATGGGAATGAAATTCAGAGGCTGGATGATGCGGAAGCTATAGACGGAATTAGTGTGGATTAAGTTATAGTGTGATGCAGGAGAGAGAGAGAGAGAGAGAGAGAGAGAGAGAGAGA